CTGGTTTAAGCTCAATAGCATGATCCCAAGATCTGTGCTCAGGAAGCTCATCAAAGCTTTCCTTTGAGAAGATATCATGGAAGCTGTGATACTCCTGGGGCACTAGTTCCTCAAAGGTTTTCTCCCTTTCAAAGGCCTTCCTTTCAGCAGCTAACCTAGTTGATACTGTCTCAGTAACACTGATTTGAGCCTCACTCAGTTCTCCAGGGTAAGGAAGAGAGTGGAACTCTTGGCACTCTTAGGTGAGCAGACTTAGTCAGCCTGTGTTGCCCTAACAACTTCATCCTTATTGTCAACGTTATTCTGCACAATCTATGGCATCATCAACACAGTCTCCACCATTGTTAATGTATCTCACCAAAGGTACATTCATCTTTGTATGTTTTCTGCTCCCGCTTGCCTCCACATAATTAGTATAGTTGACAGTCCTTTTCTTTCCAGCTTGTGTGTTGATCATAGCTGAGAGCTGGTCAGGAGACACCTAACTTAACTGGTGTACAGCCAACCATTAGCAGTGTTCTCCTGAGTGTGATGTTCCACCAGCACATCTGGCAATATGTTAGTGATGCATATGCAGAAAGTCACTTACTCTCTTTCCCAGCATAAATGATAGTACTACCACAATCATCTTCTCCCATGTCATCCTCAGTCCATTTCCTTCCTGACATCCATGTGCTTTGATGACAACAATGGGTACCACCAGCCACATCCTCTTCTCCCATTTCTGCAAGACAAATTTAGATACCACTCCCAGAGGACTCAAAGCAGGCTACATACCAGAAACAACAGGCAACAACAATGCACGACTTGTCAATAAACAACTTGCCAACCCCTTGCCCTTACCTGAAACCCTGTCAATACACAGCAACACTCAAAGACCACAAGAACAAACCACCTCCACCAGCAAACAATGTCAATCCATCTGCCCCTATCCTGTTCAACAAGCTGTTTGTCATGCTGTCTAAGCTACTCCCACCACTCACTTTCTTAAGAGTCAAATATATGCTGATACATGAACAACAAATTAACTCACCTGCATTCCTACTGCTCTCCTGGACATTTGTTGTGCCCAATGCCTGCCTTGTCCCAAAAGAAAATGTCAGCACCTCCAGCAGCTCTGCTGGTGGCAGCGCCTCTATGCCATGGGGAAACACCAGCCTCCCTGGTCTCACCAGCACTTTGAAGTCACCAATTCTCACCTCAAAATCATCACACCATTCTAATAGCATCAGTTACAGTACATGGTCAGGAAACTGCACTCACGCCAGTACTTGCAGTTATACAAGGGATGGCTGAAGCACTGGCACTCTGCAACACATGTAAGAACTGACACATACATTCACTGCAACAATGATGATGCTGCTAACTTACTTCCATACTTTTTCCCCCGACACTTCTCAGTACTCTTGAACACCCTAGCAGGAAATCCATGAAAGCATACTTGAGTCAGCATCCAGATGTGAAACTCAGGGTCAAACTTCTTGCTAAAAATACCAACCATGATGTCGTGGACATTCCAAAAGAAGAGACACAATCACCATTCCTGTTTCACAATGCATCATTGATGCGTCTCGGATGCATATTTGATTCCATCCTCCTAATACGCTCCCAGAGTCCCGTTGGCCAGGTGCCCCGGAGGGTTACTTATTTTGCATTTCCCACACCGTCATTTATGAGCGGCGACCTTTCCAGTCCGAGTACTCGGAGCAACAGAAAAACAGAAGCTGGTTATCACGTGATTTTTCCAGCTAATGATATTGCGGAAACAAAAAGTTGAAAAGTAAAGGTCAGGGTCTTCCCTTCACCCATTGGTGTCTACGGAAAAGGTCAAAAGACCACAAAGCTATCTCGATACGATGGCGACCACCTTACCATTATACTATACCCTCGCATCACCCTCCACGACAGATAGGCTCGACGCCTCGGTATCTCTGCTCTCTGCTCTTGAGCAATTCCAATCTCAGCACGCACTCCCATCGACTGTGGAAGGAGACGAGGCACAACAGTTCGAGGCGCTCAACGCTGCAGATGTACAGTATGCTGTGAACCGTTTAGTGAAGGGACTTGCGAGCTCTAGGGAACAGAGCAGGCTGGGGTTTGCGGTCGCTTTGACTGAGGTGAGTTGACCCCATGCGCTGTGTCTTTATGAGCTAAGGGTTGTGTAGCTCCTCCAACGAATTCCGACCATCTCGTGCAGTCATGTCATCTCTCTTGTTCTTGATACCACAAATTTCAGCGGTGGAATGTCTGGTGCAGAGCAAAGGGATCTTTTATTTGCCCGTCTTTTTGGACTCACAGCTATCATCGAATCCGGCGTGCTGTTCCGTACCCAACCCCCAGCAGTCGGCCCGTCAGACTTGAAGCTTCTGCCAACTATCGATGACTTCGCGACTGTGATCACTGAGCTTATTAGCCTCGGAGAGCAGAAGAACTGGCTGAAGGAGAGCGCGTGGTGGGCGGTACTTCAAGCATTGGATGCGTTGTATGAATCGAAAGTCTCTTGGAAGAAGGATGCCATCACACGAATGGTGGTGGAGATCTTCGAAGCCAACAAGGAATGGTCACTTGAGAAGTTTACCTTGGGAGTCAGGCTCCAGAGACGTGAGCCTGAGCTGGCATGGGGACCAATGGTTGCGCCGACATTCAAGCAGAGCAACCTTCTTGGTGCGGGGAACCTTCCCGCTGTCGCACGACTCTTCAAAGGCGCAACTGCCGAAGAAACTGAAGGAACCGAAAAAGGCACCAGTCCGTCTACACCGCAGCTTCATGCCGCATGGGACATCATTTTGGACTCATATTTCACGCCTTCGTCAACTGGAAAGCTTTCACCATCCAGCGAGTTCCAAGACTTCTTCCGCATCGTTGTGGACGATTCTCTCTTTGCGTCTACAGCCTCCGACATACGGAAAGCCTGGGGTTTCCAGGTTGTCGCCAAAGTGCTTCCCCGTGCTCCAGCTGCCCAGCTTCCCTTGATATTCACCCCGAATTTTATGCGCACATGGATCAATCATCTATCGAAACAGGATCGTTATCTCCACAAAGCGGCAACAACCCTCGTCGAGGACATTCGTAAGGTTGCGCAAGAGAACCCGTCCGTTGCGTACACTTTAATCGCTCAGCTGACCGGGAAGCATGGAAACAAGAGATTTGATGCGATAACAAAGACAAAGACGGTGCAGTCTCTGGTGGAGGCGATGGATCCAAATGGGGTGGAGGAGTACACAACATTCTTGCTGACAGCAGCATGCGAGGGTGCAGATGCTGAAGGGTGAGACAATTATTCGATGAAACAGAGGCTCCGTTGACATCAGAAAGAACGCGCGGTATTGATGCGAAGCGTATTTGGGTTCTCGACCAACTACATGTATTGGTTCGCAATACGGCTGTTCCGAAGAGTAAGGGATGTATCAACAAGATACTAGAATTCCTCACCGTACATGGTTTCTTTATCATGAAGAAAGCAAGCTCGAAGAGCACCATTGCCACCGTGAGCGGATCCCCACCATCGACACGGTGACCAAGTTCTCATGTTTGCTTTAGCTGCACACAATGCCCGAGCCTCTCTTTTCGTCTGCTGTGCAGGAGAAATGCCGGGAGAAGCTCTATGCTTCCTTGGCATTGTTAAACGCTCAGCGTGTATCAAGCAAGGGTATGAGGGTCTTTGTTGTGCTCAATTCCCTTCTAACTTGATATAGCTAAGGCCCAGCTGAATGGCAGCAGTGGTGACGAATTGGCTGTCATTGACTGGTTTGACCGTTGTCTTGCTGTGCTGCAGAAATTAGCAAAAGATAAAAAACACGTCATGCCACTCCTGGAAGCCGATGAGGATGTGTTGGGGCTGAGGACCTCGGTCATTCACACATTGAGCCGCATATCCGAAATGATGACCAAAAAACCTCTTGTCTCTGCGGCTTGCACATTGCTTTTGCAGTATCTGATGCTGCAGACATATGCCGATGATATCGACACATCTGAGACCCTTCCGGTGAGGCGTTACAATGTTGTATCGATCTATATAATACTGATTACCCACAAGGATAGCATACAAGCAACCTCCAAGCTCCTTGATTTGAATGTATCCTCCGAAGCATCTTCCGAGGAAGTTGGGGCCGAGCCAATTGACCTGCTGATGGACGTACTCATGGCTCTGCTTGAAAGTGATGCAAATCATGCTCGTGAGGTAGCTGGTCAAGTGTTCGGAGGCTTGACTAAAGAGGTGTCGGGATCAACAATCCAATTCATTCTTGAGGTGTGTTCGCCATTATTTCATGTGGTTCTTGGCTGACGCGCAGTGATAGCAACTGGAGAGCAAACGAGCTGGTGATGGTGAAGAAGATGAGGACGCAGACATGGACGAGGATGAGGATGAAACAGAGTCAAATGGCGCGGAAAACGATGAAGCTGAGAGTAGTGAAAGCCAAGAAGATGAAGATGAAGATGAAGATGATACCGAGGAAGAGGATGAAGAAGAGGATACTGCACAGGCCGCTGCCACCGCTGCACTCAGAGCACGACTTGGTGAGGTGCTCAAAGCGAACGGTTTAGGGGCGGATACGGATGAGGAGACCGATATATCCGAGGAGGCAACCAATGAAGACATTGTTGACGATGATACCATGCTTAAATTGGACGATCAATTAGCTGCTGCATTACGGTCCCAGGTGGGAGACAAGAAGGGTCAAAAAAGTGCGTACCGCATCATTCTTGGAAATATCTCAGCTGAACAGCTATTATCTGATGCAGATGCGCAACGTGAAGCGACACACTTCAAGATTAGAGTCCTGGACCTTATTGATATTTATCTGAAGAATGAGCCGACAAGCGAGCTTTCATTGCAAATTATGCTACCACTCCTCGATCTTGCTCTTTTTTCCAGTTCAGACGAGTCTCAACTTTCCAACAAGGCGACAGGCATTCTCAATCAAAGATTTGGCCATGCAAAAGAAATGCCGGTACCGACAAGCGATGAGGCGGCTGCCGAATGCCTTCGAGGGGTTCTGGATCGAATGCGCCGTACAGATCCCTCGCCTCTTGTGCTTCACTGTTTCGGCTTCTTGAACAGAGTCCTGTCGAGGCAGGGCAAGGAAGCAAATGCTACGCTTGTGAATTTCTACCAAGAAGCATTGCAGGGCTTTGTCATGCGAAGGTCACCAGGAATTCCGTTGTCCATTTTCAGTAAATTGATCTCCTCTGTTCCTGTCTGCGGCTGGGCCATTCGGGATACAATCATGACACTAATGACTGCCACTGGTGCGCCCAATCGCTTTAATCAGCGCAAGCTAGTGGAGCTGCTTGGACTTGTCCTAGGCTATGCTACGAACGAGGTGCGTCAAGCTTATCACAACTACGCTAAGATAATCAACATTGTACAGGGTCGAGCCGTTGAGATCTCAGACGTCCAACGCGCTGAATTTTTCGAGTCCCTTCGGAAAACGATTTACGAAGCCCTTGTACAGGCTTTGGATGCGCCTTCATTCCTCAGTGACTACACTCGCGACCTGCTCAAGTGCCTGCACCGCGGCATCCGAACTGCCAACAAAGTCACAGGAGCTGAACAAGGTGATACTATATGGGACGCATCTGCTTTCGCCGGCATCCAAGCCAGGCTGGAAAAGGAACATGGGAATGTTCCTTCTATCATCAACCTCGTGCAAGAGGTATCGAAAGCACTAAAGCCAGACACTGACATGGGGCAAACGAAGAAGGCAAACCGCAAAGTTGACCAAGCTATCGCTGTGCCCCCGTCACCTACAATCGTAACCAACGTTGCAACAGATAAAGACGCAAAGCTTCAGTCGTCCAAGCTCAAGTCCAAACTCAAGCGTTCAGCAGAATCAGGCGTAAGTGTGCAGCCGCAGAAGAAGAAGAAAATCAAAGCATCTTCATGAGGTTCGTCGGGGAGGACTATGTGTCTAGAGATATCGCCATGCAGGTATACGCAATAATGTCGCTAATGAACTATCTTGTGTCAAAGCCGCAAACAGGTGCACTATGTGTCGCTCCCTCCTTTAAGATTGAGTTTAATCCGTTCGATGTCCTTGCGAAGCCTGCTGCAGGTATCAGCTGTGCGACTGTCAAACGAGCTAAGCCGCCGTACCGGCTGATTTCAGTCCTCTGTTCCACCACTTTGCGCATCTCGCCCGACCGAATGGTGGCAGATTGCAAGACCGCTTCCGGTATCCCTGCTAGTCGAGCGCATTCGATACCATAGGATCCCCGAGCCGATCCTTCAGTGAGTTTATAAAGAAAGTTGATTTCAACTGTCCCATCCAATTTATCTTCTTCAATGAAGTCCATGTGGTTGTTCGCGATTTGAGTAGGGAACTGCTTTTCCAGCTCGCTTGCGAGCAGCGGGTAGTGTGTGATGAACAAAGTTTTGGTCTTGATGTCTTGGACGAGATAGGTCAATACCGCACTCGCAATAGCCATGCCGTCGAAAGTGGACGTTCCGCGGCCCAGCTCATCGAGAATGACAAGAGATCTAGGTGCAGCCGACTTCAGAATATCGCTTGTTTCGGAAAGTTCCACCATAAAAGTTGATCGGCCTTTTATGAGATCGTCTGAAGCACCCATTCGCGTCATTACCGCCTCTTGCACCCCTAAGGTTACGGCACTCGCTGGTACGTAGCTGCCGATCTGTGCCATGATGACGATCAAAGCAGCCATGCGCACACAAGAGGACTTTCCACCCATGTTGGGACCTGTGATGATGCGAGAACGCGGTCCATCACCGCCTAACGTCACAGTATTTGGAACAAAAGGGTCAGACATGAGGGCTTCGACCATGGGATGTCGACCTTCCACAATGTCAATTCGATCATCTTCCACAAATCTCGGGCGGCAATAGCCTTGCTGCTTGCCAACGATTGCAAGCGATAACAGACAGTCTGAACAATGATAGTGAGCGGGATTGCTGCTCATCTTGAGTCAAACTTACCGGCGAGAGCTAGCTTATTTGTAACATCCCGAAAAACGTCGTAGTTCTCTGACACTTCCTGCAAAAATGACTGGTACGCCTTCTCTGCTTCTGTTTGGAGTAACATTAGTAGGTAACCCGTGATCGGATAGTGTACATACCAGCTGTAAGGCTTTCCTTGTATCGCTCTCGCTCCTCCAGCATCCGTCTGACTTGTGGCGTATGGAACCTTGTAGCAGTGCGGGTTCTGTTCGGGATCTCAGTCTGCACCGCAAGCGAGGGTGACATTCCACTTACGATGAAATGCGCGACCAGTCAGCCGGTACCAGCTTCTTAACCTGCGCTCCGGAGACCTCAATAAGATACTAAGAGGCAAATTAGCGTTGAAGCATTACCATGATGAGTCATCCTACTTCAATGCCCGCGATCGTTTTGTATTGGACAGAGGGTTGTTTGATAGTCTTCCGTACTGATTGACATCAGACGAGGTCTCCGATAAGCAGCTAAGAGTACTGACTTTCGTGTAGATGTTCCCCCAGCTCATATTCGACGGTCGCGATACACTGCATAATTTTTGAGATCAGCCGAACATGAACGCCTCATGGGAAACTTACATCTTTCGTGTCCTGTATTGCCGGGAATTTCTGAGGGTCTAACCAAAGGTCTACCTTATTGTCGTCCCGCGCCTTCCGTAGATCGAGGGGCTGCATGAGCTGCGTAACGGTCTCCAACGCACTTGGCAGAGAGTACACAATATCGTTCAGTATATGCGACTTGAATCCAACGCTTGAAGATTGCTCAAACGGAGGAAATGCTCGTGCAATACGGCTGAACGCATAGAGCAGAGATGCCAGTTCTCGAGGAGCACACTGAGCAGATATCAGCATTTCAGTTATCCAGATCAAAGTAGACGCACTTTTCCATATTGCACTCGACAAAGGCTTTTCACCAAGTCGGGTGTTCCCTTCAGAACAGTTCGTAGTTGCTCGATTACGGCACTTGATGTCGATAAGAGTTCCTCCACAGCATCAATACGCTCATTTAGAGCTTTGAGATCGATAAGCGGACCTCCAACCCAAGAACGCAACAAACGCGATCCAAACTTGGTTTTTGTGTTATCCAAGACCCACATCAAACTTCCCCGCTCGGAGAAGTCATCCTGGTTACGGAATAATTCACTGAAAGCAGAGAAGTGAGATCGATGAGAAATTCAGCTTGATTTCGAGATACGCACAGATTGCTCAATGTATTACCAGCCAGCAGCATATGAGCTTTCGTTGTAAATTCGGCAAAGAATTTGGTGCGTAAGAATGAGTCCGCCAGACCAAAGGCGGTAAGGTGATTAACACAATGAGCCAACGCAATGCTGGTTTTGTATGAGAAAACTGATTTCCACAAGTCGGAAATCTACTCACACGACATTCTGAGGTAACTCGGCAATGGCAGTCATGAGTTTGCCGGAGCGAAAGCTCTCTGAAGCACGAGGACTCCCCTCATCCTTCTTGGAATAGAAGTCTGAGGTCAGCTGGAATGCCGAGGTATAGTCCATGATTTTGGCTATTCGTTCGAGACGGATGCTGCCCCCAGCGTTACTATGCATATATTTGAATCAATGGATACTCCAGGCAAATAGCGATTCAGCCTACGAATTCCCAGCAAAATTATTCAGCAAGCGCTCCGTGGTCTTGCTGAGCCCCTTCGACGGCAAAATGAGTTCACAAGGGTTGAGATGGGACAGTCGCGTCTATTACTGATTGTCAAGTTGCACTCATTCGCCATGTCCGGGATCTCTCACCTCAAGTTCGGAGCGCATATGGCCATCCTGGAAGTCGTCGTACACGATGTCCCCAGTGGATGGCACAACCGAGACCAGTCCAATAGCGACTCTCTCATCAGCACCCATGCCGCCTCTAAGGTCCTCTATCAAGCACAAGAGCGGCCGAGTCGTGGTCTGCCCAAAGGCATCGTCGTCATCCAAAGAATCCGTTTCGTCAACGTACGTGGCCGGAGTGTACAAAGCCTGAAGTTCCCTCACAAACGGACCACTTCGGTTATCGCCAACTTTCTTCAGTGCGGCAGTCTCCATCTGGCCAATGACTCCGACCTTGTACCCCCGAGAGACGAGTTTCTTCACATGGACGGATCGTCGATGTACGGGTATACTTGCACTCATGAAGTTTCGGTTAGGAAAGGCGGCAATTCCAAGTTCCTTGGAGGCGATCTGCATCAAATGAGTGAATATATGCTGGTAGAATAAGGGACAGGGCACACTGTCGCATCTTCACCGAAAAAGCGGTACTTGTAGCCAACTTCTACAAGTAGCAAATTATCGGGATATGCCTTCTTAAGATCTCGTATCTGTACCAAATATTTAATGTCTAGCAGAGAATGACGAAATCAAGCTGTGCACACCTGGTTCTCTAATGGAGTGTACGAGAGTCCGCTCGGCCCGATCTCGACTTTCTTGCCCCTGCCTTTGGGCCTCTCCTTCCCCTCATCCATTCCTTTCTTTCCCTTGGATGCGAATTTGTTCCTGAGGTCCATCGCTGCTGCCGATGTGCCTTCGTATGCTTCCTCATTTACAGCATCGTCATCCTCGTCTATTGGAGATCCCTCCTGCTCAGCCCTCGCATCGGTGACCGATATTCGACGAGCCAGTGGGTTGTTGGAACCGAGAAGTTTTTTGCGTAATGCGTCGCGTCTTTCTTGGATCTTGTGGTAATCGGCGGCATCCATGCCTGTAAGAGGGTTGGCATTTGTGCGCTCTACGTCACCTTGTGATGGCTTGAATCGCCATTTCTGTACTATTGTCTTTCCAATTTGCCTTTCCCCCTTTGATTTCACAGAGGAAATTGAATTGCCGTTCGAGACTGGTGGAACAACAGCATCTTTTATTTTGGGTGGGAGGATGTTGATTTCGGTCTCAACTCTCGCCTTCTTTGCTGGTGGTGCATCCTCCGCGTCGCTCGTCAGATCGATGGGAGAGCTCTGCCTCTTCCTCAGCACCGAATGTTGTGGCTCCTTTGCTTTCGAGAAGAAACTAGATATCATGGGCTGAGATTTGCCATCCTGCGTGCTTACAGGCGGCATTTTGAGCGCAAGGCGGATCTGAGTGTTCGGTCCAGTCATACCGATCGCGTCGTCCGCCCGACGCGCCTTGGGAGCCATTACGTAACTAGACCCCAGGTCCCCTAAACTGACCTTCTCTTGCCTGTCTTATTTCCAACTCTCAACAAGATGTACCAAATAGCGCGTTCAACTTCCTCCATGATGCACATTCTTTTCATTAAGAGGGCATTTACAACGACCAGGCTGGCTGCCAATGCACCGGTCACGCAAACGAATCGTGAGTGCTGTCATAGGCTTGTTAGCAGATCTATCAACAAGATGACAGGAGCTGAGGCAACCATGAAGCGGTTCTGGAAGTCAGTAGATGTATCACCATCAAAGCAAGGTTGATTTTTGGGTGTCAGCATTCGTCGCAAAAGTTCATAGTTTTATGCAGACCCGGAGACGCTGGCGATAACACTGGACAAACGACCCCTAAAAACGCCGTTAGGCAAACCTCTCGCCGTCCCAAATACTAAGCCATTATTAGCTGCTCTCATCGCCCACGAATGGGATAGCCAAGAAAATGTTATCAAGCCGCATGCGCTACCCGTTACATCTCTGGCATCTCGAGCACTAGACGGAATGCACATAGAAAATGTACATGCTCAAGTCCGGGATGCACTCCTCAAGTACTTCGACACGGACACCATCTGCTTCCACGAACATCATCACCCCTCCCTGGTTCGACTACAAGACGCGCACTGGAAGCCTATCATTGATTGGGCGCAGGAGAAGTTCGGTGTAGAAATTCGCATCTTCACCGACCTGATGGGCAACGTCCAGCCGCCAGAGACGCGGAAGGCTTTAGGGGACTGGATTGCGAAATACGACGCATGGCAGCTCGCCGCACTCGAAAGGGCAGTGTACGCAACGAAGTCCTTTTTGATCGCACTGGCGCTTGTAGAAGGGAGAATCACGGCTGAGGAAGCTGCACAGGCGGCTCACGTAGAGGTGAACAGCCAGATTGAGAGATGGGGCGAGGTCGAGGACTGTACGCACTAGTGGTTCTAACTCGAAACGACCTCACCGCTGATATGTATGCACAGCACATGATGTTGACTACCACGACATTCGACGACAATTGGGCAGTGTTGCCTGCCTCTCATCGAAAGCCTGAAACGACGGACCAATCCCGCCGAAATCAAAAACCTGATTCGCGCACTGCTTCTGGACTCGATACAGCACCTCATGTATCCCACATTAATGACGGAACTATGACAGCATTCCATACTACGGCTGCACGTTCAGCAGCTACCACTACGTTCGATACGCAGTGCGGCCATCTAATTCGAGGGTCCGAGCGAAAACGGAAAGAACGAAACATCTAGCAATCTTGGAAGCCTATTACAGGAGGACAGCAACCATGGCGCCGACTGCAGCGAGCATGACTCCTGCGTTGCAGACAGCTTTTACCATGCTTCCACTCGTTGTGCTCTGAGAGGGAGCAGAGGTTGGCGCGCTACTTGCGCTCGAACCCCCGCTGGCAGATGTGCCAGTACCACCAGACATCGCGAGTGCCTTGAACGCGTCGTAGCTCTTGGCGCTTCCTTCGACCGCATTGATGGCACCAACCATACCCTGCTGGCAGTGATTGGCCTGTTGGCAGTAGAACCAGATCGGTGCGGTCGTGTTGACAAGCATGGTAACACTTGGAACGAGGCTTTGATTGGAAGCGATGGGTTGACTGTATAAATGGGTTAGCACATAGTACAACTGTTAAATGGTACTGGAGCGTACAATCCGGATTGGAATCCAACAGTTCCTGCAGTTGCGTTCTGCGTATAGACGCAGGGTGCAGCAAATGTAGACTGTGTGACAGTATGGTTCCCATGGGCACTACAAGTAACAGTCAGCCATGCACACGCGTCTCAAGCTAGAGTACGACGCACAAAACGAATGTAACACTGTCACCGACAGTCGCTGTGATATTAGCCGGTGTGTATGTGAGGGTTCCGTTCAAGCCGACGATAATTTGATGGTTGGCTCCTGTCGTTTGCGCCACAACGGCAGCAGGGAGGAAGGCAGCAGCCGCAACAGCAAACACAGTAGAGAAATGCATTGTTTGAGTTCAGAGGGGTTGGTGAGGCGCGAGGAGGATGAGGGCGACGATAAGGGGACGATACGGAACAATGATGCGGCGATGTTGGATCAGAGAAAGACCAGCTTGTATGGATGCGAGAGTGTTACGCTAGCGCAACTTGCAGAGTCTGTGGAAGAATGCATCGTCAGTTTCTGTCATTCCTTCGCACGTTAAGTCTGCTCACCCTGCTCAGATGATATGGTGGATGTCAGAGAGAGAGATGAAGGTGCGCGGGGGCTTTGCTGCGGAGACTTCCGAGCCTTTATATTGCCCTCAAATTCTCGATGACATCGTCCCATAGAAGCCAAGCCAATGAGTTATGAAGAAAGACATGTAGTCAAGCTACGGATATTGTCACCAAGGTGAGCGTCTCTGTGACGACTGAATGTGAATGCTTCCGTCCTGAGAACGCGAGCGGCTAAAATGCCGCGGTTAACCTCAAGATTATAATGATCCACTGGGACCCTGAAAAGCACTGCTTTTCAGTAGTCGGGACCCGCGTCCCAGGCACTGAATAAGTGTGCCGGGGTTGCTATGTCAGGGGAGTATATTCAACCCCCGGACTTGTTAATGAAAAGTTCATACTAGAAGTGTTTTTTTTGTTGAATTCAGCCCATTAGTATTTTGTAGATAGTTAATAAATATTATCAATAAAATAATTAATAAAAAATACTGATAAAAAGTGCTTTAGCACTTTTTATACGAAGTGGTCGCAAAATAAGGTCATTGAAAATATGTACACTGGGGGCCATAGTATAGTGGGTCACTGAGTATTATTGAGCACTTATTGTACATTTTTTACTAATAGAATCAGTCACTGAAGTGCATTTCTTATGCCTAAAGCTCATCAGCATGCTCCCCCTCCTCCTCCTCCTCCTCCCCCTCCCCCTCCTCCCCCTCTGCCAGTGTGTTCTCCAGCCTAGCCTTCTCTGCAGCAATCTCTTCCTTCTTGATGCAGTTGTTGTACTTCCTATTCTTGGTGAACTGCTGGATCGTAGCATGGGTCGCCCAGTCTTCTTTGAACACAGCAAGCTGAGGAGCCTTCTCACGAGCCTGTGTAATGGTCAGTATGTTTTCCATGCAGGCACTGATGACTTACATAGGCATAGATTGCTGAGAGGAGGGCAGGGGGATGTGCAGTGATATT